GGAGAACAAGCCCCTCTCCTCGCAGAGCAATCTGAAATGATGGAATCATCTTCCCTTCTTCTCCAAAAATAGGCAAAATAGTCAGGTTTAAATAATATTAATAAAACCCACCAGAATGTTACTCAGTGAGCCTAATACAACCCCACTGACTACCTGCTGTTCTGTTGAACCATTTGAAAATGAAATGCTGTCACTACCCAGCCTGATTTTACTCGCTGATTAAGCAAGCTACTTATGCTCAGAAATTTCTAACAAGCTTGAGGGCTAAGACCTGTGAGAAACAACTTTATCTTTGTCTCTACAAGACAGAGGATTAAGTGGGGGCAAAAAAATTAACTTTTCCATCTGTTCTGTCCCCTTGATGCTCTGGGCTGAAAGCTGGCTGGCTGCTGTTTTGTTTTGCTTTTTTCCTGGCTCAGTTGCCTTCCCTAGGAAGGGGCCAGGAGGAGTTCAGATTCCAGCTTTCTGACCTGTCTGTATGCCTAGAGCTTTCCTCTGGGACGAATCGCCGGCGTTCCTGCAAAAAATAGCTTTATGGTCATGCAGAACTTGATGTATGAAAACTTGCAAACTAATGAGATTATGGAATTTTTTAATGCTTTCCATTTTTCAGACAAATGAAATTTAAGAGGCAGTGGTTACTAAGGAGAAAACATTGTCATTCATCTGTGCAGTCAGTTGTGTCTGGATCCGAACAACCACTTAAAACCATGCCGGCTAAGCATTCAAACTGCAAAGCATAGCTTGTTCTATGATGCCATTTCAGCCCAAGCTCCATGATGACCTGGAAAGGGAGTTACTAAGCAGAGTTTGGTGACTTTATGGAGCTCAAACTCTTATTCAGCAAGGAATCCACCCATGTGCAAAGCTTAAAAATGAGACTTTCCCACTTAACTTAGTCACACCACCCAGCTGACATTTTTATATTCCATGCTAAGATGCTCAAGATATTTCTTCCCATGAAGTATAAAGTAGGGTTAAGCTTCTATGTCTGACTTCCCGACAATCTCAACACAAGGAAAAGAAATCATACCTATTGCTTGTGGCAATCAGGGTAGAGGTTCAGGATGCCTTAGAGTATGCCACCAGCAAATAGCCTGAGTTTAACTCTTCCTGGAAACAGTGCAAAGACTCTAGTGACATGTTGCCTGCTCTAGGTGACCCTGCTTCGGCAGGGGGGTTGGGCTAGATGACCCACAGAGGTCCCTTCCAACTCCTAACATTCTGTGATTCTGTGACATCTCCATTAGTAAATAAATTTGGTCTAGGCCCATAACCAAGTGTCTACTGCATAACCTATACATAGCTATTTCACTTTTCCTCCCAAAATAGCATGACTGTGTGCAAGCTACCCATTTCAGACGGTCCCTGGACCATACCTGAGAATTGTCTGGGAGAGGTGCTAGCTGGCACATCAAAACTGTGCCAAAGTCTCTGCCACAAATTTAGCAATGTAAATCTTTGCAGCATAATGCAATATCCTTATTTGCTTACTGTTGTGAACGCAGCCTTTGAGTTTGCCAACCAGGCTAAGGATAAACGTGGACAGGCCATACTCAGTCCCTCAGTTTTGCTTCACAATGTTTAAAAAACCTCAGAGTTTTGTATTTTTACCAACATTAGCAATATCAGCTGATTCTGCCCATAGTATCTCACCACCCAGCCTTTTTCCAGTGTAGGCTCTTCTGATATGTTATTCGCTGGCTGTGTTCACTTCCTATGATACATTTCTTTCGGGAGGTGAGGCTGGGAAGGAGGAAGCTGCTGGAGTTTGCTCACATGGGTTTGCTGCTTTTTTTTTATCAATGCTGCCCACTTCCACTTTAGGCAAGCTTTCCTTGTTGACGCAGCAGTTGTGACATACAACCAGCAGTGCAAAGTCCTACTCAGAAAGGAGTAACACCAGACCTCTGTTCCTCTGGAGGGTTGGATGACTGGCCATGGCTGGCACAGCTCTGCAGCTCCGTACAACAGCTTTTAATGCCAAAAGGTGTAGACTGAGGCACACAGGGAGAAAACCGGTGAGAGATAGAAGAAAAGATGCTCTGCTTCATCCTTTGCTGCTTTGTACTTCAGGGATTTTCTTCTGGGAGAATGAATCTGGCACTCAACAGGATTAACAGACGTCAAGAAGTTCAGGGCCTTTCCAGTCGTGTGCAAGAGATGATCTTCAACTGGGGGATCAGAAAAACCAGCTGTAGCCTCAGTAGTCTTCTGTGACACCAGCTGATGTTGAGCTATCGGGTTTCTGTTTCATTTTCTAACATTTCCACATGCTTTTTGGTGACAGCAATTACATATGTGTGTGCTGTCAAGAGCAGGAAAGGCTGGTTGTTTGCAATGAGCACTGAAGCCATCGCTAGATGGATACTCTTGCAAGGGAGTTGATGTATGCCTTCTGTGTTGTGTCCAGGACATGTGCACGGCTGAAGCAACTGCATCTCTGCTCCAGGTAGAGGAAACCTTCTCAGCATGCCTGGGACGGATAGATGCCCTCATCCTCAAGCCTCTGCTCCAGGCAGGTAGGTCAGAGCAGACTACTTTTTTTGTTTCTAGTTCTAGGCTTGAGTCACAGGCCACCTCTGAAGGGAATTATAACTGAAACTCTGGGGCTGGTTTGCTGGAGTAAGTGGTATAGGGAGTTGTTTCATTTGAGATACTGAGCTCTTAAGGGTGCCTATGGCCTTTCATTCAAGCCTAGGATTACGGTTCCTGTTGTTTTTAGAGATTAATCCAGATTCTAACTAGTGTCAACTTGTACACCTGCTCCAAGGCGTGTTTCCAGAATGGTGTGTGGAAATCCAAAAAGCATCTAGCATATATAGACCCCTAAACTGTTCCCATCCTGCCTCCCTGCTCTCAGTCCATGGTCATGACTGCCTTTGAAGGCAAAACTTGTGGGTGCAGGTTCTGAGCTGGCAGGAAATCAAAGCAGCTCCACTGAAATAACAAATCTCTATAAATATTCACAAGCCTGTCTGGCCAAAAGTGGTGTGACTGGATTAGACCTGTATGGTGGTTCCCTCTCACGTCACCACCTTTTTGGCGTAGCTGCCAAGGAGACCAGGAAAGCCCTTTGAGCAGAAAACTTTCCTCTGGAGGTTGTGTCTGAGCTGGGGCTGAGCCTTGCAGGCTGCCCTGACCACACAGCCCACAAGAATGGGAAGGACAAAGCCTCAGCATGGAAAGCTCACGTAACTACTCACAGGGACATAACCCTAAATAATCATTGTCTCTTTTCTCCCTGACATTGTTTTCCTATAAGAATATATGTGCTTTACATTGAAAAATTGGGCTGAGTATTAGATATAGGTAATGTTTTCCGCAATATTTCTTGGAGTCAAGGCTTTCTGATAATCTTTTTTCCCCCCTTTTTTCCTCAAAGAGCCTAGTGACCAGAAAGGAAAGGAGAACTTTAAGCTCTTCCTCCTCCTGAATGATCGATTTCAAGCTCTCTGGAACCTCACAGAAGAAAATTACCGGATACTGAAACAAAAATGCAGCACCTCTGAGTCATTCTGCATCCAGGACATCTACACTGTCTGGAAGGGAGACCTGTTTCTAAGCCTCTACATCCAGTAAGTACAGAAGCATTCTGGAGTAGCATAAGGGACAAAATTTATCAGCTAAATGATAGGTTTGCGCAATTAATTTGTGTATTTAATTTGTTCGGTCCTGTCCGCTACTGTTCAGTCGTTAGGTCAGTGAAGTGATTGCATTCAGTGCTCAGGACAAATGCTACCGAATATAGCAGACAGTGTAATAAGTAGCCTTTTTTGTAGCTGTGAGTATGCTTGTAGGAGGCGGATTTTTTTCTTGCAAGTATAGCTTTTCTTAATGTATCTTAAAAATGCAAAGAGGGCGAGGGGTAGAATGTGTTGCGGGGTAATATATGAGAATGAAGGTTGAGCTGTCACCAGGCACAGAAAGGCATGTGCGAGCAAGTTTAAAGGACTCATAGGGACAAGAAGAGAAGTCGTCTCTAGACGTAGTTCATATTATGTGCTTGTGGCACATTTTTATGCTTTTGGCAAGGAAGATGATAGCAAATGATGTATGTAGTGTGATTTGAAAACATACTGCCCCACTGCAGTTTCTGTAATTAATTACATCTGCTCCCCATCTGTCTGCAGCGCAAAATAAACTGTTTACAAAAAGCACTGTAGCATGCGTAACCTGTGTGTTGATGTCCTAGCATGACAAATGGTTTATGGACACCTGAGATGACATAAAGGTCAGACTGCGTTTAATCCTTCATTCACCACGCTGGCCATAAATGTGGCGACACCTTTGCCACACGGGCTTGTACCGTCTGTGCAGTTTGACATCCACACAGGAATGGGAGATGGGCTCCTGGACATTGCTGTTCATCTAGTATTGATTTTGGGTTTTTTTCTGGATGTGGAGGAAGAAAGAAGGAAGGACTACTTTTTGTTTTATTTTCACTTGGACAGCATAATCTTAAAAAGTGATGCTCAGCAAACTTTGCCTTTATGTGAATGGAGTTCGGAGCAGTGTGTGTTGTTTGTACTGATTCAGGGAATCAAAATTGGTTTACCTCAAAAAAGAACATAAAAGATGAAAACTCCAGCTGAGTTTTCAGACAACACAAAAGAGAAGTTTATCTCAAGATCTCATTTCCCCTCGTTTTGAAATTAAAGCCTGTTTTTGTTGGCTGTCATGCAAAAAAAGAGCTGGTTCCTACCCACCTCTTCTGACTCACTCTGCGCAGTCTGGATCCTACAACGTCTCATGCGTATTGGAGTGATCTAGGAGGGAGTAAAGCCACTGTTCAGGGGCCTGAAAATCAGCAGTAAATACATATCCCTGAAAGATAAAACAAATTATAATTAATCTGAACAGAACACAGGAAATATCTGAAAACACTGCTGAAGGAAAGCGTGGCATTTGTTGACAAAATATGGCTCGATCTCCCTCTAGTGTGAGATGAGCTGCATTGGCGTGGGACACCTGGACTTGAATTTACCATCAGTAACACGAACCTGACATTTTTTCTTCAGCCAGCAGTAATTCATACCTCCGAAGCTGGTATCTCAAGCTCAGCCTTTGCAGATTTGCTTTCTGGGACAGTTGCGCAAGTTTAGTGCTTAACGCCAGGATGATTTAAACTTCCTGTAACTCTACTAGTGCAAAATTCAGCGATGCAGTTAAACCAGTGAGCTGGCAAAGGGGACAAAAAGGGAATAAGCCAAGGTGAGAGGTACAGTAGCTATGTCTCTCCCTGCCTCCCTTGGAAAGGTGGACCTGATGTGACACTTTTAAATGAGCTTCTTCCCTCTATCACTCAAACCTTGTAGCTAATGTGCATCTATAACTCAACTCATGCTCATGTGTGTGTGGTTTTTTTCTTGCTAACAGATATTTCGTCACTTTTGCAAACTATGTTGTAGTCCATGGCTTCGAACATGCCACAAAGAGCAAAAGGTCAGTGGGCTGAAAAATGCTTGTTTGAAACATTGATAGAAACACAGTGATGTTGTATGGGTTAAGACACTAAGTTGGAGTGAGCAGCACTGAGCACTGCACCTCAGAGTGATCTCCATTTCACGGTCCAGCTGCCTCTCCTCTGAACTGGCTGCTCTTGCCATCTTCTGAGACCACGGCAGCACCTGTTGAAAGGTTTCCTCTAGAGATCTGTCTCCATTACTTTTTAGCCATGCACAACTCCTTTTGTAGGACAGGAAGCCTGTAAATTTGGAATGTGGGGGTTCAGGTAAGGGGTGGGACCTGAGAAAGGATGATGTGGGATTTTGGGAGGAAATTTCCACTGCTTGTCTGAGATGTTGTCAGAGTCTCATGGAAATAGCAAATGAAAACATGAGTGCTAGATACGAGAAGATTCATAGCCAATTTGAGTTACCCTCTCAGAGTGCAAACCATCGTGAAAGTCATGCTATATTCTGTATGTCTGTGGGGGTGGTTCCTATTTGCAAAGACCCTTGGGCCAGAGACAGGATGGATGGAGCTCTTATTTGCCTCATTGCCTTATTTCTGTGTATTTGGTGGGCAAATATATTTGCACTATGTTATCTCCTGCTCTCTTAAGTCTTTCTATATCCTCTCTGAGAGTGAGGTCACGTATAAAGTTTGGAAGGCAGAAGAGTGGCCATTTGCAGAAAAACAAATTAATGAGCTTTTGTCTCAATTCACCATCTTGCAGTGAAGCCTGGAAGCACCATAAGACAGTGCTGAAACAATTCCTCAAAGACTTTACCTCCGAGACCTCCATGTCACTGGCCTTACACACTGTTCTTCACAAACCTATCCGGGACCACATTGAGCAATATATACTGCTCCTTACCAAGCTGAATGAGGCTCTCAAAGAGGTAGGAAGCTTTATGTGATGTTGCTTGACTGGCTTATGCTAAAATCTCATGTAGGGCTTGTGGGGCTTTGTGGTGGTATCATTGAAACCAAAGTTGGATTTCCAGTGGACAGCTGGGGTGGTAGTAACCAGCATCCACCCGGTGCAGCCCACCTGAAGGTCTCAAAGCAACAAACAATGGCCACTCCAGTGTAGTACAAGCTGCTCTTCATACAGAGCAGCTGCAAAGGGTCAAGTAACTGGCCTAAGGTTGCACACTTCTGATGGTGGCAGAGCTTTGGGAGGCTTTCCTTGCAAATGAGGTTGGAGAGTTAACTCCTTAGCCCTTTGGATTCTGAACTGCTGAGGCTTTGCTGCAGCTGTAGCCCAGAAAGTAGATGTCCTGCACAGCCATTCTTAACGTGTTGCTCAAGCCCTGCCTTCTTTTATCAGGGCTCTGAAAAGGACGTGGTTACCAGCGCCATCAAGGAATATGTGAAGCTGGAGTCTTTCATCAGCCAAGTCCTGGATGAAGCTTGTTTTACCAAGTTCTTATGGAAATCCTTGGGCTACAAATTCACAGTGAGTCATGGACGTAGAAAGTGGCTTTATGAGGAGCTCTTTTGGAGGTTTAACACTTCTGCTTACACAGGGAGGAAATTTAATATGGATCAAGCATTTGAGGCTTGGTTTAGAAGCCAATAGAACAGGGCAGTGTGGAAGCCTTGAAGAAACCATATGGACATTGTGTGCTTTAGAAGTTGAGCCCTGTGTCCAGTTCTACCGTCACTGTCAGCTTGTGCTATGAGTCAGAGCATCTTGGGACAAAATGTTGGCTTGGGTCATATGTCCTCTCCCAAATCCTGATGTTTCCTGATGCTTTTGGTCTGCCACCTTAACCTGTGTGGTTCTCTCTGCAGGATGTACTCTGTGTACCTGAAAGGAGGCTGCTGGAAGATAGCAAAAATCTTCCCATCTCTGCCAGCACGAATCGATCAGACCGGATATTGCTCTTTGATGACGTCCTTGTGCTGATTCAGGTGAGTCTTCAATCTTTCAGAGGGATTGGAAGGGCAGCATAGATAAATGACAGCAAAATACAAGTTCTTTTAACGCTGGAAATGCAGCAGAGCTTGTCTGTTGGCAAAACCTTGTCTCAGATCCATGCATCTGTGGTTTGCACAGGAGAATAAAAGAAAGCCTACTGAAGAAGAAAGAGGAGCATCCACATAACTTTTCCCCCAGTAAATGCATACTATCCAACTACCACAGGCACCTTTCTAGTAGCCCATGCCCACGTCTGCATATGAATCTGTTGATTTCTGCTCCTGCTTATTCAAAGGGGACCTGATGCGCCAAAGATATTATGCTGTAAACACTCATGCATAGGACTAAATATGATCTTTCATGGTTGACTCTGCTAGCGGCATGGGAGCAGAAGTTGCAGGTGTTCTTGGGGCTATTTCAGGTATTTAGGGCCTGGGTGTGGGGCAGACAGGGAGTGTCTACAGCCATGGATAGCTAGATGAATAGAAGATGTTCAAAGCTACTCTGCAGCATGTTAACTAAGTCCAGCTTGGCTTGCTCTGACTGACAGCTCGTATAATCTACCACAGCTCTCTTGAAGTGCACCTCTCTCTGCTTGTTCTTTAGTCAGCTGCCAGCCCCTCAGGTGTCCAAATACACGACTGCCTTGTGAGCTGATAGATCTTGTGGGCTCTTCCAAACATACACCTTTATGAGAATGCTGGGCAGTCCTACACAGCTGGCAGGGTCTAGGCCTGAGGAAATAGGGTGGCGATTATCTCATCCAACTTTACATTGTAGATTTCTTAGCACTGTAGTGATCTCGCTGTGAGCAAGTGCCCTCAGGCTCCCTTTATAGTCAGGGGAGAGATACATATGCACCGTCTGGGTGTGGTTCACCTGACCTGTTTTAAATGCCAAAATTAGGATGAGGTGAATCATGTCCTTGACTCCACTGGATAGGATCAGAGCACACAGTAACCAGCTCACATGGAGATATCTATGTTGTAGACATCTCTGTTTAGTCAACCGTTCCCACCCACTATGTCTCATCTGCTACTCTGACTGTTATTGAGGCTTGTGGGGATATAAATGGACTGGGATTGAACTGGTTAGCTTGGGCTGCTAGCAGGGGACTTCTGATGAGGGCTCTGGTGCTGGGAATATGAATCTCCCTCCTTTCCCTGTTTGCCGAAATCTGGTAGATACATCAGTGATTAACTCGTGGTGAACTCCATAGTGCTAGTACCTAACCTTGGTCAGCTACATCCTTACAGACAGCAGCTCTGTAGTGTGGGAACCTGGACATTAGACAGGGAAGTGAGATGTAATACTTCATGCAGTCTTTACCTAATGTATTTCAATCATTTTAGTTTTTTCTGTTTACTGTGCTATTGATAAAAATAGTGGCTCCTTAAATGTTGTACTTCTGGGCAACTATTGGCTGTGCCATATGGAGTCCAAATCCTAGACAGATCATAAGCAAAACTAGGGCATACTGGGTGCCAGGGATGATTTGGGAGTGTTGTCATGTGATAGGGAAGAAACACTTGTAGAGATAAGAGCCGTCTAAGAGGTCTGTTACTGTTAGCTGTAGCCATGGCATTATGGAACATCACTTATATGTGTTAAAGTAAGAACTTTCTCCCTTCTCCTACGTTTCTTCGATGTCCGAGGTCTGTCACTGTAGCATGGGATACATGTGTGGACCCCAAAAGAGCGAATTTACAGTGCTGCTGGTCTTGCTATGGTGTTCAATGGATTGACAGATTGGGGGCAAAATGTGATGTTTACATCAATAACAGGAACACCTTCTCCCTTTGTTCCAGGGAAACAGCTTTCAGAGTTTTGATTTGAAGCTTGTGTGGGTAGATGAAAACTGCACGGAGAAATCAGCTCCAGGACTGTAAGTGGAAAATTTACACTTGGAGGTGAAAAATAAGAAGTGTTCAACTTCATTGTGAAACTGAGAAAATGATTCAAGACTTTGTCCCATCTCCTTTCCACCCAGTGGGATTGGTTCTGGGCTGTGGGTAATTGCAGCACCTCTCAGATGGGATCACAGCAGCTCGGACTTGTATTGCCTTGCCTTTGCTGACCTACTGAAATCCATCAATAATAAAATAGTTATGGCTCCAGACCTAGAGAACAAAGATGAGTTGACTAGTTGAGTACCTCTTGCGAAGGGAAAAATGACTGCAAGAGCACCATTTAGCTTCTGAAGAGGAATGGGAAGAGCAGGGACTGCTGTTTGACTGAGAAATGTGCTTTTCACAGTCTGTAACGTCTTTCCCTTCACAGGTACGGATTCCGCATTATAACCCCAGAAGAAACATTCTTTTTCTCTGCCAAAGACCCGCAGATGAAGGTTAGTGGTAGATAGGGTGTTTCTGTTCCACCTGAAAAACTGTGCATCAAGTTTTAAAATAGGGGAATGGCTTAGAGGGGATGGCAGCTCTGTAGTGGGAACAAAACATTGACTACTGAGTGGAAGCTGAAATCCCATTAAGCATCAGGATTTTAGCTTTCTGATCAGGAGACAGATTAGTGGGCTCTGCATTTTCTTAACACGCAGTTGAGGCTTTTCCTCTGTAATTTTTCCCATTTTAAAATTAATTAAAGCAGAATAATAAGCTGTGTGTTTTTATTTTGTTTTGTTTTCTCCCTTCTGTGAAGCCAATACCTCATTAGATGGCCAGAGGTGGTTTAGACTGTTGATGATAGGTGAAAAATATTTGGAGGCTGGAAGTGATCTGCCCTGGGCAGTAGTGTGTGCTGCAGACCTGGGGACAGTACACTCCCATCAGCACGGTCCTGTGCCAAGGCCAGTTAGTGGTGGTGAGTGTCAGGCTTAAATGATTTGGAAGTGGTGTGCATTGTTTCAGTATCCAACTTGCAGGACCCAAGATAACACCTCCTGTTGATGCTGTAGGTGGGCCACAACTCATCAGCCCAGCCAGCTGAGTGGCACACAATTGATGGGAACCCAAAAGCTTCTTGCTGCTTCTCCTGAAATACCTCTTGTTGAGAACTATTTTGCTTTCCTCACTCGTTAGTCCAGCACTCCTCTTTCTCTGCCCCCAGGCTGTTTGGCAGTGGAAGCTGAACCAGGCTGTCCGCCAGGCACTGAACGGGAAGCGAGATTTCCCATTGTGGGGCAAGACTGGTGAAGGCACCGAGCCCCCGTCCTGCCGCTTCTTCACCTACGTCTTCAGGCAGGAGGGCAAGTTCAAGAGTGCATCCTACGAGGGCGAGTGGCACTGGGGAAAGCCACATGGCAAGTAAGGAGCCTTTTTTTGCCCCTTTCCTAAGTAAGAACATGCAAGGACAGCCCTGCTGTTTTTGTGTAGCACTGTCTGGATCCCCTGGATGCGGAGGTGGAGGTAGAGATACCACAGAGTGGCTGTGGACAAGGGGTGATCCATCCCATGTTGGACCATGGACTCTGGACTGGTGATGTCGCTGGGTGTGCCAGCCTCGCTGGTTCCTGCCTCACTTGTTTTCAGAGGGAAATCTGTTATTGAGGACAGATTGAGGGGACAGCTGGGACACATTTCCTTGCTTTCAGGGCTTGGTCAAAGCGTTAGTCCTGCCACATGGTCTATTGCACGGTAGATGTCTCACTAGTGATACTGGTTTATGCAGTAAATTGCAGAGGCTGACCCTAATAATGTGGTAATGATCACACTGAAGGCGCTGCATGAGCTTGTGACTGTAATTAGGACTTCGACTTGAGCTAATGTTTATTTTCAAGATCTCAGCCTGAGGCACAAAATCTTAGCATTGTGATGACATAAAAAAAACCCAACAAAAATCCTCTGCTTGCAAGTGAGTGAAAAGTTTGATCCTGTGCTATCAAAGTATATTTTAACATCCAAACTATTATCACAGGAACTAAAAAAATCCCCAAGAGTAGTTCATAAATACAAAAGATGCTCAAATGTGTGTCTTGGGAACTTGAGAACTATTCATTAAATCCAACTGACTGTTTAAGAGTAAGGTCTGCCAAAATCTCTTTGTTATGGGATAGAACAGTCTCTGTTTTTGTGAAGAAACAAGAAATATGCCCAGTCTCCTCAGACACCAAAACAGGCTGATGAGTTTTATAATTCCTAAGTTTTACACAGTTTGTTTACAGTTGAAACAAAAAGGATGTACAGACTTGGTTTGAGAGCACCTTAAAATAATGAGAATATCCAAAATCAAAAGCTTAATCCTGAATCTTCTGTGGAATAGACTGTGCCTTGCCCCAGAATAGCATTAAATAGGTGTTTGTAGTAGAGCTATGTCTTAGGCAGTCATTTACACCATCCCCACCTTCTCCAGCACCTGCACTCCTAACTGAGATCTGAAAGCCATTATGTGCAGACACAGAGAGACAAGCACCCCTCCTCGCTCTTCGTCTCCTCCTGTCTTAGGGTTGCAGAAATGAGATGAAAAAATACCTCTGCTGCTTCAGATTAAATGATTTGACTGAGGCATCCCAGGAAATCTGTGGCAGATATAAGTGACTTCAGGTGCTTTCCATGCCTGGACTTTTAATTGCTTAATTACTAGGCTGTCCTTCCCACTCCTGAAATTGCTCTTCTATGTGACTTGCTACTAATACAAGGTTACAGAGTAGCACGCTGCTCTTGATGGGTTGTCCACCTCTGAGAGCGCGACTGGCATGGCAAAGCACATGAGCAGAAAGCTGCAGCAGTGTGAACCAGGGGTTTTCAGCAAAAACATCTGCATTCTTCACTGTCCTGTCCCACTAGTCCTGATGACTTGATGTGGGGGAAGGAGATATTCCCACTGAGAAGCTGCTTAAACCATCCCAATGGCTGGAGCAGACATTCTCTGCTTTACTCTCCTTCGCTAACATTCGTACTAGCAAAGCAAAAGGAGATGTATTTTCAATCCACTTAAAATTAATCTGACCACTTCCCTGTACATACCAGAAAAAGAGCCTGTCCCGTGTAGGTGTTTACACTTTGGTGAAAGTCAAACAAATACGTCATGGTTTTGGTACTGCACCATCTTCCATTGTCTCTGGTTGGGGAATGTGTGGGGAGCTGGCTGTGTCTGGGACGATGCAAGAATTAAAAGAGTGAGTGGGTGTGGGTGGAGTGGGCGACCGGGAGGGAGGGAAATGCATTCACAGCTGGGCACAGCCATGCAGTAATTTGACCATCGCATTGACTGTTTGACTGTTCCAGTCTCGTTGTTGCATTGTTAACTTGTGTAATCATTTCTACAACCCCCACACAAAACAGATGGGAAGATATGATCCCTTTAGGCCAGCGCTTGTTTCTTTTGTTTTCATAGTGTCTGGCACAATGAAGTTCTGGACCATGGTGTCATTATGTTGTCTACAGGGATGTGCCATGATGGAACTTCAGCTGGCTTAATCACATGCTGCACTGCAATTACAAAAGGATTATGTGCAAGGTCCTAGACTGATGACCCAGCAACTCTACAAAATGCTTTTGAGATTAGGGAACTTGGAAGCGGCTTCTTCCCACTCATTCCAGGGCATGAAAACATTATGGTATTAAATCCTTCCATGCAAACCAAGGTTCTAGAGGTGCCTGGAGAACTTGTGTGTCTGTGTTCCCTAAGGAAATGTTTTGATGTTAGCCATTTCTAGGTTGTTGTAATGCTTCCTTTGAATTGCAGAGGGACATTGAAGTGGCAAGATGGGCGCAACCATGTTGGAGATTTCAAAGAGGGCTTGGAGCATGGGTAAGCCTTAAAAAAACAGGGTGTATCTTGCTAAGGAATGGTTCCTCCCAGAGGTAGAGGGACGCTGGCATCTTGTAGAGAGGCTCTGTTCACTGTTACAGCCCAATTCATCTGACCTCTTTTAGACACCTGGCTTAAGATCAAGTAGATTGTAACCTAGAGCGAATGGATAGGGAGTGTGTGCAGATGACCAGTTTAGATGCAAACATCTCTTCAGCTGGATGAATCTGACTCCAGATCTCTAAATCTAGGTGTATTTATTCCTGTGATATACTTTGAGAAAGTTAGTTTTAGAAATCTTTGAAAATCTCTCTTAAATGAGTTTTCGGTGGAAAGAAGCCATTCTACAAAATTAATTATAAATGCATTTTTTCATATATTTATATATCATATATCATCATATATTCAAATAAAATATAAATTATTTTTCTAAAACCTTTTGAAAATAAGACTTTTAAGTCCCTCATTTCTACATGAGATCCAGAATAGGTTAGGTTTTTAAAGGGAAAAAAAATTTCAAATGCTTTGTGTTGGAATTAAGAAAACATTTTTCTTGCACCAAAGCAATTACTTTGGTAGTCTAACTCAGTTTCTAAACTGGAGAAGGGAGAGAGACAGGAAAAAAATCTACAACACTAAAAGTAGCTCTGTAGGAGAAGCAATAAGAAACTGTGACTGCAGTTCACAAGGATACCTGGAACTTCATCCAGTAAAAATGAGTCACCTTTTGCCATGCTGACTTCTGCCATATGCACCTTACAGGTTTGGAATATGTCTTGTTCCACGCCGATCTGAAGACCGGTATGACTGCTATAAGTGCCACTGGTACGAGGGCAAGATGAGAGGATATGGAATCTGTGAGTAAGTAAAACCTAAAGACGGACTCTGGGGGGAAAAAGGCGACTCCATGTATTTAATGTTCCCAGCTCACTGTGAAAGGCTTAGTCACAGTGTAAAAATCCAGGGTAACTCAGGCACCAGAAGATTTTGCTTTGGAGATGGGCATTATGGCTTCTTCACAGTCCCTGAATCTCCCAAGCATGAGGATAGTAAGAGCTTCTCTGCAAGCTACGACCATTGTAACTACCTGACATAGCATCCTCTGTGCCCTATAGATGAGGACACAACTTTGCATTCATGCTTGTGGTTGCAGAGCAGAGAGTGCACAGTGTGCCATCAGTCCTGGAGCTTGGTGGAGCTCACAGCTCTCTCTGGCTCCCCTGGCCTGCTATCTGGACTAAATCTTGTATAGAGTGGTTACTTAACAATGCACGGGATTGTTGGTGTGGGAATCATAACTGTAAACCTGAACTGCTAAACAGGGCTCGTTCCCCTAGTTGGCTTTTTTTTTCTCACTCAAATTCTGGGCTGAAATCCAGAGCTTAGGAAACAGAGTCTGAGGTTTTCTTATTTACTCATCAAAATGCTTCTGGAAACAGTCATTTGCACACTTGTGTCTCGAAGCACTGCTGGGAACTTGGATGGAGCCTGGTCTGTAAAGCACTGTATTGTGGGCACATGGTTGGTGTCCAGCCTTACCCCCCATCTACCTTCCATTTACAAAGTCAAAAATGGCAGCGGATGCCTGCTCAGCAGGTTGAAGGTAGAAACCGGTATTGTTTGTAGCCCACGGGGTGAAGTGGACAGGGTTAGCTTGCATTGTTCATGTAGCAGTGAGCACAACAGCATCCTCATCTTTGCATAGGTCACACGTGGCTTGTAGCCAGATGGGCTGGCCAGTGTGAAGACTGGACCAACCGTTGCTACTGCACATACTTAGCCCTACTTTCACTGAGTCAGCTGTGGCAGAGGAAAGCACTCAGCCCAGCTTTCCAGCTGCTTACTGCAGGATAGGCCATCTTCCTTCCTACAACCTGCTTGTTGTGATCCTCATTTATGAGTCAAACGTAGAATACAGGACACGCAGAAATCTCTAGTGAAGTCAACTGAGCAGTTCTGCGCTAGTGTTTCTGTGGTCAAGTGTGAGAGCATGTTTATAATTATAGATGATAGCTCTGCTTAGCATAAGTTCTTTCTCTGTTGTAGCAGTGAAGATCTGCTGGCCAGCATGGATAGACCTATGGGGAACTCTTCTCAAGGTGGTGAGCCCAGGAGAAGGGGTGATTGGCAAGTGTAGAAAGGTGAAGGCGGATCTGGCTTCCTGCTTGATCTTATCTACTCCCACTCTGGATTAACCAGTGGCCACTGCAGCCTGGCTGGTGAGAAGTCAAGGACTGAGTGGCCGCTCTCATGAGGGCAATTGCAAGCCTAAGCATTGTGTCCTTAGATAATGTTGAAAACTATCTGTGGACTGACAAGCTTGGGTGATGCATGTTCCTGATAGTGAACAACTACCAGCTCCAAAGCTATCAGTCAAATATTTGAAATATTTAGCAGGCAGAAGAGCCCAATCTACTCACTTTACTGGCTTCCTAATACAATAGTAGCTATCAAATAGGCACAGTCTTAAATTCTGTTTGTCTCTCTCCCTGCAGGTATGGGAGTGATATGGTCTACAAAGGTTACTTCAAAGACAATGTGCGTCAAGGGTTTGGGATACTGGAGAACGTCTCAGCTGAGCATCCATTTAAATACACAGGACAGTGGGAAAATGACAAGAAGAATGGATACGGAGTCTGGGAAGACAAAGATAGGTAAAGGTGGTATAGATCAGGGCTGGCTTTAAGTGCCGGACAGTTTTGTCCCTCAACTGGCAGGGGTAAAGCATCATGTTTTAATGGGGAGATGTGGGAATGAAGGGGGGATGTGTTCAACCTCTGCTATAAGGCTTGAACTCCTGGGGAAGCATTATACAAATTGAGTTTGTGCAGTACTTCTGGCACTTGTGCTGCATGGAGCATTGTATCGGGTAAAACTAACTTCAGTAAGTGATACATTAAATTGACTAAGATCTAATGAAACAGGGAAAAAACATAATTTGTTTTCTATTGCATTCCAGAGGGGAGAGATACATAGGGACATGGCTCGATGATCACAAACATGGACAAGGCATTGTAGTAACCCAGTCAGGTGTCTGCTATCAAAGGACATTTCACGCTGATAAAATGGTGGTAAGTATCCATTTTCAGCGGACTCTTTAGATAGATGGGACATGGAATTCCTCATACAGGGCAAAATTAAGATTTGACTTCATAATCTTTGAGGGAAAAAAAAAGCAAGAAAATGTAAGCACTGATGTTTTAACATAATAATGTTTTTGAGGAACAAGGACTAGATTAAGTCTTGTTTCTTATCATCTTCCTGAGGGGCAGGTATGAACTAGATGTCAGACTGTCACTTCTCCTTGCTCACACTAAGACGCCTTATAGGTCTGGCTGTTAGACGGACCATCAGGTCACAATTAGAGTCCAGAACTCATATGTAAAGTGCTGTGCAGATATACGTGATATGACATCTACCTTAGAGATCATTAAGCCTTTATCTTTTCAGTGTGAGCTTACCTATGACAAGTTGGCTGTCCAGTTCATTGAAAGTTTAGATGTTGGTGTGGAAAGCAAAAGGGATTGGCACCACTAGAACTGGCTTGGAAATAAAAGCATTTCTTCCCACAAAAAAATACGCACTTAAAAAAACAAGCAACACCTTCCCCACTCACCAAATTAGGACAAAATGTTTAGCATGGAAACTTTGTCATAAGGGCTTTCCATAAAAATTCCATCTGCGGGGAACCAAAATAAAGCCATCTTTTGGCCTGCCAGCTGCCAAAGGCTCCTTTAACTTCACAAGGCTTCCGGGTGGGGAGCAGTCACTTCAGCTTTCCTAGTGGAAAATTGATATAGCCAAGAAGCTTCCCTTGGAAACCTTTTATTTTTGCCAGAAAGGGTGCTTTCCATCAAGAAAACCATTCCAGTGGAAAATGTGTTACATCTCTAAAAGTGACCACATTTTCTGGCTGCTATGGGTGCGTAGAAACCTTCAGGCCCAAACCATGGGCTAAGCCCCATCAAGAAGACTCTTCCCCCATTGGTATAAATTATCCTGTGTCTGTTCTGCATCTTGGTGCTCCTTCTCTGCAATGTGTGCTGCTGTGATCAGCAGTGGGAGTTGGGAAGTAATGGAACGAGTTATGTTATGTATGCTTAGGAGTAGCTTGTTAAAGCCCTGTTGACTGCCCAGCAAGGGACAAAGCTAGTTTTACACAGCAGCTGCCTGCCTTTTTTTCTCTTAATCATCTTGCAAAGAATGACACAATTTGCTATAATCACCTAAAGGTCACAGGACTGGGAGGACCACAAGTTTGACCTGTATGGCAATTCTTGGTGACCCTTCTTAGAACAGGAGTCTGCCTTTTGTTCCTTGTTCTAGGGAAAATAATATAATAGTACTGTTGTTTAAAGCCTCCTGACTACCCAGTACTTTTCCTCTCTGTGGTGATGCCTAATGGGTTATCTCTAGAGTACCTCCTTGCTTTTCTCTTGAGCTTTGCAATGCTATGTTGGGTTTTCCAGAAGGTTCTCCGAATTGGCAGCCCATAAATATTCCAAGTCAGTGACTGTTTCTAGATGAACTTGAGTAGATAGGAAGTTAAAGTCGTGAATTCACTACTTCTGCTTTAAAATGAAGGGTTCTGGGATTCTGCTCTTGGAAGATGACTCTGTCTACGAAGGGAACTTCACGGAAGATCTAACGTTTGTTGGCAAGGTGAGCACTTCCTTCATCTCAGTCTTTCTATACAGTTGCTTGCTCTCAGAAGGGCTGATAGATTCATCTTCAAACTTCATACCCTGCTGCTCCACTTCCCCCAGTCCCCTAGAAAATAACATTTTCCTGTTTTATTTTGGTTTTGGGTTTTGTTGGGGTTTTTTTTCCTATTTTCAGTCTCCTTCACAGAAGGAAGGCTGCAGCTGAGAGGCTTCAAGTAGTTGGGGTCTTTGTGCATTGTTTTGTTTTTTTACTGGTTTTTTTTTACGTTGAGGTGTTTGGGTTTTTTGTTGTTTGCGGAACATTTTTGGCTGTGCTTCGCAGCTGCAGTTGGGATGCTTTTGTATTGTTGGAACAAATGTTTTATCCTTTGTAGTGGTTGGGAACACAGGAAATGATGTACAAACCAAGCGGAGTTGCAGTATCAGCACTACGCTAACGTAACTGAGATGTTAACACAGCCGACGGATATTGGAAGCTTAATTTTGCAATCTGGACACTGCGCTGACACGTTCAACATTTTGTGGTTGATCTTTAAGGGAAATATCTGGTCAAAGTGTTCAAAAAGTGCCCCGCTGCAGGCAAAGCTAATCCTCTGGCTTGTTACAAAAAGCTATGATGAGTCTGACAGGAAGCATGTGGTTATATCAGACTGAGCTGGATGTCAAAATAGACACTTGGTAATGATTGCAAATGAGCCCCGTCATTTACTGACTTGTCATGGGAGAAAGAGTTTATCATCATCATGTTCAGCGAGAAGACTTGGGGTGGATTTTGCAGAGACTGATTATAGTGCTTAGATATTGCTTCTTCCAAAATTAATCTTTAGTTTGAGCAATCAGTCTAGAAAAATCTGTTCTTTATCTAGAGATGGAATGCCTCCTGCTATTAGCAATGAGGATTTCAGGCTTGTAGTCAAAGCCAGAATAGTTACGATATGGTTTGGCTTTGGATATGATTTAATTAAAACCTCTACGTTTGAGTCAAGCTGCTGCATGTCTTCTGTATTTGCCTCGGAGAATTTAAGGTTTGTCTTGGTAGCAGGAAACATTTTCACAGCATTTATGGTGAATATCATATGATTCCCCCTACCTGCGAGGCCAAACTTGCTTGTGGTTTTAACAAGCAGAGGAAAAACAGAAGAGAAACTGAAGTTTCATGTGTTCACTCCAGGTTAGAAGTAACTCACAACAAATTTATGCCAGTACATTTTATAACTCAGAGGAGATATTGAGAGGGTATTTTTAAAGCATAATGCAAATGTTTTACTCTGTGACTGTGGTGGTCTTTTCCCCCGAGAATCCTATGTGTGTCATTCAATAGCAAGGACATATTTTCTCCAATGACTCTGTCGCTTTGGATGCTGAAAATATGTACTTCTGTGCTGGAAGTTGTTCTTAGTTGCCATTTCAGGAGCTGGCTCTGAAAAGAGAATTTGAGATCTCGGTCCAGCTTGTTTCCTCTCACTAATGAGATCTTGGCAGCATGACCCTTTATTTCTCTGTTGCAGGGAAAGCTGTCCTTTGCCAACGGCTTCATTCTGGAGGGAACGTTTACTAACAAATCAGGCCAAGGCCTTCAGACACACGGCATCCTGAACACATCGAACGAGCAGCTGGACGACAGGATAACCAAAGTGTGAGCAACACAAGCTGACTTCTTGGGTCATGGCTTGTACTTTGACTCTACCTAGAGTAGTACTGGATCAATCCCTACAGGGTTCAAGGCAGTCCTTGCTGAAAGAGTTGATCTAAAAACTGATTTATATGAAAGGAGAGAAGAAAAAAAGGAAAGCACAGTTTGTCATTTAATCTTCATGCCATATAGGAAGCAGAAAATATGTTTTACTCACATCTTGCCACCATTCACCCAGAGGTACTCCCATCCTCAGACTGGAGACAGTTTGGGAGGCTTAACATTTTCAGTGATTTGTGCGTGTGTGTGCATGTACACGTGCATTTCTGTGTATACACACAGACAAGTCTGAAGCTCTACAGGCGAAGCTGGGCTGCTAAAATGCATCACTTGCTCCTTTCCCGTCCCTCTGTGCTACTACATGAATATTACCAGCTGATATCGTAGAGGCAGGAAAGCTACCAAAAATCGTGAATCTCACTGAAGAGCTTAAATTGGACAGTGCTCTATGTGGAGGAAGGCTGTGGAGCCAGGATCAAAGCTTCACAGAATCACAGAATCACAGAATAGTAGGGGTTGGAAGGGAGCTCTGTGGGTCATCTAGTCCA